ATGCAAGAAAGTCTTTGTTCACTATCTACCTCACTTGGTATTACAAGTCACTGGTACTTGTTTTTTTGGTGGTCCCTCCTATGAAACAGTTCCACAGTATTCAGAAGTCTTAAAGTATCATGTTCTTTGACTCCTTGAGCAAAAACCTGGTTTTGTTTTTTGCTTGTCTTTATTTCCTTTTTTGCAGGCAGACTTAGATGTCTTGCTGTGACTGATGAACAGTACTAATGACACATAGATTCCAGGTCTTGCTGGGACTACCTATTCATGAAGAGGAGCACAGGTCACCAGCACGCCTTCTCTGTGTTGAGAATGAAAATAGATCCTACTGAGATAAACAACCATAAAAATGACAATTTCCATAGAATAAAACAAGATGATCAGGAAGAAACCAGTCTGACTTGCCACACAGCAGACATACTTCCTTCAAAATAAATTTCATTTATATTAATTTCGGTGTTTTATTGAGAATGGATGCCAACAAAAATTGAGAAGTGACTATTGTTATTTATTCTAAGAGTTCAAGTATCACTAGAGTAGCAACCATTGCAGACAACATTTGTAAAGATAACACCACTAATAGCACTATTGATGCAAAATTTTCTGCATATCTCAAGTACAGTGTATTCAGTTTCTACCAAGATATTTTATTAGGGAGAAGCAGGAGAAAATAGCTTTTGTAGTACTAAGAGGCTTTTGGAGAGAGTTTAGACAAATAGACTTCTGTTATTCATATTTGTTAGTAGCAAAATCTTTGTTTTGAGCATATTGTAGCTACATAAAATGCTGCTGTTTACAATCATGCACCTTGAAAATTGTTCCTGTCAGATACCTTAGTAGGGTCAGGTCTGTTTGATACTTGAATGATAGTATAGTACTTGACATCTGTGGCACTCTTATTTCCAAGGACTTCAGCATGGTTGCAAGCATAAATGAATTAAGCTTCACAGTACCTGTGGGATAGAAAATATTTCCATTTACTGATGGGGAGAGGTAATTGAGATGCAGGACAGTTAAAGGTGATTTTTTTTGTGTGTGTGTGTGAATTTTTAAAGGTGATTTTAGAGAGAAGTAGGTGACTTTATTCCAGTGGTACAATGTAGAGTAGGCAGCTCTACATCATGTTTGCTGGTTCATAAGTTTCCTGACAACCCCTCATGTTTGCTGTATTGTGAGTTGAAAAGCACATAGAATGAAGAATTTGCACTAAAATGTCATTATCTTTTTTCATTATTTTTGTCTCTTTTTTCCAGTTCTATATTTTCATGTAGAAAATTTTTTGCAGTCTCCAGGTGTTTTTGGTTTCAATCAATAGAAGATCCTTGAATGGATTTATCCAAATAAATGTGAAAGCATGTGCAGCCATTGCTTAAATATTTCCATGGATAACAGCTTTTTTGCAAAAGAGTGAATGCTTAATATTGTGCATGCTGCCCATTGAAAGCGATCAGTGTTTGGCACCTATGGCCTACTGATAGTTTGACCAACTTGTAAATAGGCACAGTGCCATCTTAACAGATGGATATGAATATAGACAGCCAAGAAACCATGTATGTGTATCTAGTGTATTTGTTAAGGGCAGGGTTCCCAGCTGGGGACGTTCAAACTTATGTCCATTTTGAATTTTTGCTTTGTGGATAAAGGGAAGTTGTCATTAATTTTTTTTTTTAACTAAATAGCTTCAGGCATACAATTATTGACCATGTTAAACAAAAAAAGGAAAAAAAAAAGAGGGAAACACCAGCTCCTCCTTTAATACTCTTGAGGAACTAATTCCCTTTTAGGCGAGGCTGCTATCAAGAGACTCACTGTGAATATCAAAGATGTGAAGCGTTTCAATAGTTTTATTTCACTGGCTTGCTAGCTTTATTGAAAAAGAGGCTACAAATTTTTCTTTTACTGGACAGCAGTCTGTCCAGCATTCAAGCACCTAACTGCATCTGCTCAAGTCTCTCTGGAATTATTTATAGTAACTCAGAGGTTGAGGGATGCAGTCCTTCAAGCCCTCTTCATGTCTCTTATATTGTTCTTAGCTTGAGGACAGTATGCTCATTTTGTATACATTTTTGTACCCTTTAGATGACAGTGAGTTTGATCTTATCCCCCATCTGAGTCATTAGGCAACACTGTTGATTTTTGCGCTTTCTTTTTCTCCTTACCTGAGTCAGTCTTGGGGCTCCAGACTTCTGGTTTATTTTCCCATTACCGCTTCTAATGATTTCATTCTGTCCTTTGTTTTAATCCTTTTCCTGATCAGGGTGTCCTGAGAAGCTGCTTAAAGGTCTGCTGTGATCTTTTTGGACTGCTCTTGTAAGTGATATCAACATTTAGCCATTCCTAACACTTTCTGTTCATTCTGGCACTTTGACACCATTACGTTTTCATTGGTATGGTCTTAGCTGAGGTAGCTAGAATTGCATTTGGTGCTTGGAAGTCTCATTTTTTTTCCTGTAGAAAATGCGGAGGAAGAACCTCTAAGAGGGTACAGTATGTATCACCTTGAAGATGAAAAAAAAAAAAAAGATGAAGAGGTGTAAAGAGAGGAGTTTCTTGAAGACAGGGTATGGATAAAGCTGTGGGTAAAGTTAGTCTTAAAGTGTAAAATGTCAAAACTGTATCTTGATATAAGGAAGAATGTTACTGTATAGAAGTAAGTGGAAATATGGGAAAGTGGTGCAGAATTAAAACATCCTGCTTTGTGATAATGAGGAAGCTTGCGCAATGTCGTTATTGATAAATACCAGTCTCTTCTTGTGATGTGGGTATTTCATAATACTGTTTTGTTGAAGTTATTTGTTTAGCCACAGTAGGTGTTCAGATGCAGTTCTATGACACAGAGATACTTCTCAGATTAATAAGGACCCTGAAAAATCAGAACTTTTCTTTGGCATGGAATCATACACCTCTGCATTTATTCCTATATTGAATGACTGTGGTGTCTACAGACTGCTTGGTGCCAGAGTCCAATACTCTCTGACTAGATTCTTTTAGATCTTCCATGTATGGAGGGTGTAATATTTAATATCAAATTTGAAGATAGTTGGTGCTATGTGGGATTTCTGATTTAGGAGAATGATACAAAATATACTGAAAACAACACAAATGTAAGTTACCCTTGGCAAAATACAGCAATTGCAATACACAGTTCAGTCACAATACCGATGTGATTCCCATTACCGGTCTCTATAATATGCTCACAGTCACGATGCGTCCCCAGCCACTGGGAACGAATACCTGGGTTGAAACCAGCTCAAGCCCATTGCTCTCTTTGAAATTCTTTTGCTAGTTGTTCAGTTTTTATACTCTTATGTTGGGCTGAGCCTCGTATTCACTCCCTCCACGCTGGCCTGGCTAACTTGGGGAGACATTTATACCACCATTTGATCCACTCAACAATTTTGGGCTCCACTTAACTGTTGTTTAGCTGTTTACCTAAAACAAAGACCACCCACCCCCCCTTTGTGTTGAGCTAAAATGAGCCCCTTTGCATTATCCCCAGAGCTCCTTGGGCACATCACGGTTGCCCATCTCCACGGAGTTTTCCATCCATTGTCTTTGTTCAAGTCACATTCCACCCCTAGGGGTTTGGTCAGTCACAGCTGCAGACTTGAGTATTAGCAGGCAGAATAACATTTTCAGGAAACGCGACAGTTATTCTTGCATTTAGTAAGTAGAGAAATGGGTATGGGCTGCTCTTTTCAGATGTTAGTTGGGTGACAGACGTTATTTGAGGAAGAAAATTTCCTGAAGATACTACTCAGTCAGAACAAAGACTTGTAGAGGGGGGAGCGCTTTTGGAACAGCTGTCATAGTTATGTGGTTTTCTATTTGTCAGATTAAAAAAAGTCCTAGAGGAACATTAGAACTAAAAGAGGAAAACTGATGTTAAGTAACTACATTTGGCTTAGGGTTATTGTATTGAGTAGCTAGACTAATGGGAAAAATATATTTTGCTATCCAGAAACTTCCTGAATTGTGTATTAATATTTCTTCCTGCTTCCCCAAGCAAAATAAAATAATAATAATTATAAAATCCCACCAGTCAGAATGGTATCTTTTAGAAAATAACTGTGGCTCTGTTTGTATGCCTTTTATCTTCATAAGGTAGAGGGAAAGATCAGTTCTTTGCAAAACAAATCATGAAGGCCTTTCATGTAAAGAGATCTAGTACAGTCTTTGCGATGTCATGGCCCCATATTCAGTAAGTTCTTTTATTGAATCAAAATCTGGCTCTGCTAAAAACTCAAAACATTTATTTGCTCAAAATGAGGCCTGTTCTGCAGAAAGATGCATTTGTTTGGTTCCAATGGGCCGTTATGTTATTTCTGGAAATACTGCTTATCTGAGACCTGAGGTTTGGAGAAGTCAACGGTAATACTTTTACAGTTATGATCTCAGAGTAGGTAGTTATGTACTGGTTTGTTGATGACCTACTAAATGTTGCCCTGTGAACAATAAGCAGACTTTCATTTTTGTTGCTTGCAGTTATATAGGAGAAAAAAAAATTAACTGTTTGAATGGCTTAATTTTATTTCGTATTTTTTGCAGCTAAGAGGAATTCCTCATATTATTATTGAGGACTTGGACTATATGACGCTTCTTAATAAGAAAGTTTCACTCCAGGAAAACTGAGGGGCTTTATTTCATTAGTTTACTTTTTTCTAAGTTTAGACCTATGATTGGTGTGATTGATTGAGTACGGTAGATTCTGAGATTTTTCTAGCACGTATTATACAAGGTCTTCTAATAGATTTCACTTGTGAAGACTTTTGCTGTCAAATTTTTTTGTGATGCCTGGAAAAATTAGTTGTTTTTCACTTAGGATTCATGCCAATGAAACTACTTACTGTATTTCTTTTAAAGTGTCTTTGTAGTAACAAATTAAAACTTAAACAATCTGTACTTTTTCATGCTTCTAACAGATTTCTACATAAAATAAGTCTGGTCAACATGTAACCTATGTTTTTTTTTTTTTCTTTTTCCTTCCCTTTCCTCTTCTCCCTCCAGGGAAAATGCCATATAATAAGAAGACTGCTGGAAAAAGAGCCCCTGCAAAAAGGAAACTTGCTGAAGTGTTTGCCCTGGGGGAGGTTCTAGCAGATACATCAAGAAAAGAATGGAAATTAGGTGTCCCTGTAGGGCAAGGAGGCTTTGGGCGCCTATACCTTGGTAAGTGTAGTTATCTTTGATAATGCTTTAAAATGGAGGGTGAGATGTTTATCCTTATTCAAAGCAATGAAAAATTGACCCTAAGTTAGAAATGCAGAGTGTTTTCAAGTATTTTTTTTACTAGAACCTTAGCTTGGTTCATGGTGTTGGAAAAAAATGACAAGAGTGGACAAATGGTCATTGTAAGCACTGTGGTTGTTTGAGATTCCGGTGGTAGTTCATTCATTTTTTTTAAACCAAAATCTTTATTACTTTTTAGCAGTGAAAGGATAGTTTAGTATTTATTTAAATTTGATTTTTGGTCTGGCTGAAAGAGGGGATTTTTGCATGAGTGTTCTTATATCACGAAATCTGAACTGAAACTGCCTAAGCATATGGAGGCTACTGATCAGCCAGTATTTTGGCTGGTTTTGGCTTTGGTGCTGCTTTTGACTTTTTCATTGCCTTGTGAACTTCTGACATAAGTCATATACTTTTTTTATGTAACCAATGCTCAAAACAAATTGAAATCTTGGACTTTACAGTTCAAAGCATCAGCACAGATCTTGTTTTGCAATGCTGTTTATTGAATTCAAGGAAAACTTCTTTTAGTGGGTAGTGTTCCATACTTGGTATCTCTGTTATTTGATGATGAACAGATAAGAGAGGTCTTGAGGATACCTCAGGGAATTAAAAAAACTTGATTGCCCCTAGTCATTTTCCAAACAATTTTGAAGGGATGAAAGTATTAATCATGATAATAAGGTTTTCTTTTGCTATGCATTTATGGTCTTCCTCCTCTTGGCGAAAAAGTTGTACTGAGTTCATACTAATTTGAAAAAAAAATTAATAATCTGTCCTGCTTTCAAAATGAACAGACTGCAGCATAAGTGGATTAAGAAGAAAAACAGGACCAGTGGGTGGCTTCTTGCCAAAGAAGCTCTCTACTACTTACTCAGCCTTGCTCAAATTGTGTAGTTCTTCGTGTTAAGAATTCCTGCTTTCTTCAAGCCAAAGCTTGTCCTCTGTTTGTTTCCCCACCGTTTGCACAAAGCTGTGCCCCTGACTGTTCCTGTACTTTGTGCTTGCCTAACTTAATGTCCTTCATACCTGTATCTCCTTCTGTCACAAATATCAACAGCTTAGTAGTAACAGAAGGTCACTTTTGGATACGTGACATGGCAAAATAGTAGAATGAATGTGTTTTTTGTCTTTTATGTCCACAACTGTGTATGTTCATCACAGTCCTAGAAAAGGAAGGAAATGCCATTGACTAGGAAAAAGTTACTGAATAATAAAAAAGAATTCCTTTATTTAGTAAACTGCCTGTTCTCCTCAAACAGAAGGGAGAATGCAAGGCCATATCCATATAGAGTAGTCTTGCCATATAGAGTAGTCCTTTTACCAAAGTCTAAGGTACTGATACAAGTTCACATCAGTACCTTATTGCTTTGTCATTTGTTTGTCCATGCTGCATAGGAAAGAAGTGTATGAAGTGTGTGTTTTGTTACAGTTTCCTCTCCTACTACTAATAAATGCTTCCTTTTTAACAGCTGATGTTAATTCTTCAAAGTCAGTTGGCAGTGATGCACCTTATGTTGCAAAAGTGGTAAGACAAAATTTGAATCTTTACTTCACAACTTGAAAATGTTTGTTCTAGAATAGCATGTGTAATTTAAAACATCTTCTGACTGAAAAGTATACAATTGCATAGTGCTGTTTAAAATAAAAGTAAGTGTGGTGATACAGAGGAATGCTGCTGAGAATTGGGACTCCTATGTATGAGGGTGGATAATGGAACATCAGCGGAGTTGAAAAAAGGTTCATGAAACGGATCAGATTCTGTTTCATTTGCTGCTTCCTGTAAACAGCCCAAATATCACAAAATGAATGAAATCTAGCTTTTGGAGAATTTCTGTGATTCAACAGTGAGTCTGTGTGAACTGTTGCTCACCACTGGATGTTGGTAAGCTGACAGATGGCTTGGGAGTAGAAACAGCAAAACTTTCATTCCTGACATCCCCACAGATATAAAGTCCTTTAAATGTTTTATCATAAACCACATATGTATTCTAATTTCTATTGAATTAAAATGGCATTGACACTTAATTTTTTTTAACCTAATGATTAGAGAGAAGAAGAAGCATTGTTGATAGCTCATTTTTTAGCCTATTGTAGCAAATCAGCAAGTTCTTTTTATTAGTTGAAATTTTCTGATGTTTTTAATCTTAAAATAAAAAAGATTCATTTAGCTTGATTTGGCTATAATGTTCTCTTCCTAAGGTATAAAGTATTTTTTCTTAAATTTTGCTATATTATTTTGTATAGGTCCTCCTATTATATATGATTCCCTGGTAAAGCCTTAGTAAAAAAACCTGGGAATATGGGAATAGCCATAGTAGATCCAGACCATTCATTATCTTTGTGGTACTTCTGGTCCTGTGACAAAAGCAAATACCAGAAAACTGTAGAAGAACTTCACAATGTAAAAAATTAGTTCTTCAGCACAGTTCAGAACTGCAATGTTTTAATCTCTTATTTATTAAACTATATGGCGATACTGAAATGCTTTACCGCAATAGGCTGGCCACTTACGTAAATATGTTAATACTTTTAACATTTGTTCCTGAAACTAAAAGATCAGGTTAATTTGGAATAAAATACATTTTAGTTAGTATGTGCCTTTAATCTTGATATTTATATCTGCTGACTACAGGGAAATTCTGGAGTACTGGTTTTGGTAGTGTTCAGACACCCCAAGATACTGTTGGTGATGACCCTTTTTTCCGAAATGTTGTCACTTGCTGAAAAAAGCACTGCTTACAATGCAAATGTCAAACTACCACACTTTCAACATCAGCATACTGCTGCTGCTGCCTTAGGTGCTTGTAGGCAGAAATTCCACATAGACCAGGAGCCCCAGCCTGCAGCTGTTGCATGGTGGCAGCCTGCTTTTGCATGCCCAGCCTGAGCCATCGAGGGCAGGGGGTGTCCATTATGCAGGAGCTGTGGCCTGTTTTAGAGGCAGATAACAGACATTCAGGTTATCAGCAGTGGCTTGCCTATGAGAGGCATTGGCTCTTAATTACTGGCTCCTGCCGAGTTTGGACTGATCAGGAAGCAGAGCGCCATTTAACTTTCATGGGAGAATCCAGTTTGACTTGCTTGGAAAATCGTCAGATACGCATTTTTTTATGCTGTGTGTAACCTTCTCTTTAATCCATCTGCTTCTCTTGTCCACTTTGGGCTCTGAATATAAGAAGAGTTGTCATAACTTTTGGGTTGCTTTTATGCTAGATTCACTTTGTTGCAGCAATTTGTAAATACCCCCATTGCTAATCTCCCAGATGACTACTCACTTCTAATTTGTCTTTTATAATTTTGTCTTTATGGCAATAAAGAGTAGCCCAGTCTTTGTGCTGCCCTTACAAATGACCCGTAACATATTATGCCTCTACAGTCTAGTATAACACAACTACAGATAAGGGCCTGTTTTCTAGTGCCTGGGTGATTCCTAGTTGATCCATCAGCTGAAGCAAAGTGGTTAACAGCTTTGAACAATTATTAGTGTTTAATAAAATATGTGCTTCTATAGTAATGTTCTTCAAATTAAGCTATTAAAGCAGGATGGAAATTGGCTTAGTCTTTGACATATCCTCATAGTATTGATGTCTGAGCAGTATGAAATGTATCACAGTTTTTATTAAAAAAAGAAATGCTTTTTAACATGTGGACCTTTCAGATGTCATTGTTCAGGAGTGGATGCAGAGTTTAATAACACTTCATGAAATTGCTGACTGAAAAAGATCAGAATTCTTCAAATACTACTTGAAGAAATTTGTTGGGTTTCAACATGTTCTCCATAATCTCTTTCATTATGGTATCTTCTAATTAGACTTTAATTTCAGTTTTGCAAATCATGTGTTTAGAATGACCCTGGGCAAAAAGTTGTAGAAATTTGTGTTTGAAGTCTTTCTGGTTTTAGTGTATTGTAAGATGACTAGTATGGCATGTATGTAGAATTAATGGTATTATGGGGAAACAGCTTCATAGTCAACATGAAGATCTGTTTTATGGTTAAATCATTTATCCATTCCCTCAAGTATGAAAAGATACCAGATTTTCAGCATTTCCTCTGACTAGAGAAAGTTATATCTTTTTCAGCACTGAGACATAATTTTTTGTGGAATATTTTATTTAAAGATAAATACTTCAAGAATTTTTAACACCTACAGTTTTTCGCTGTATTTTAGTAAGAAAATAACATTCTTCAAACCTATGTAAATTGAATCAAAATAATATGTATAATTTATATTCTAATTAAGTTAGAGTATTAATGGATTATGCTATGCAGAAACAAGTGAATAGGTCAAATAACATTTGTTCGAGATAACTGCAGTATAAGAATTCAGCTCTTCAGCCATTCTTCTCTGTATATATAATCTCTCTATCGCTAATTTGTTGCCCATAGTGGATAAATAAACTAACTGAAAATAAATATGCATGTACCAAAGTTTATGTGCATTAATCAGTTGGTCTAGTTTGTTTGGGTTTTTTTTCCACTTCATGGCTTAAGTCTGAAAGTTGGTCCCACAAGGAGGGGCCAGAAAACTGTTGTCTTGGCTCCATTGTTTATCAGGGCAATGCTGCTGGAGAAAGTGAGGTGGAGATAGGCGGTAGCTTTGTAATCGAGTGTCCAAGCCTAGGAGTGGTGCCTAAGCTGGTATCTGCTCTCATTCTGACTGGTCTTCCTACTCTGAGCCAATACATCAGATGCACACTAAAGCCCGTGTTCATCAGTGTGTTTGATCTCTTTACGTTGCTTTGTTAATGTCGGACAGCAGTAAACCTCTATTAACTGAGTGATATAGTCTGGCCTTTAGTAATTTTCTGGATCATTACATCTGCATTTACAAGTTACAATTAAAACCATTTAAGATTGATATTATATATCTCGGAACTTTTGCTAGTATCATGTGATTGTATTCTTTATGGGTTTCTTTGCCAGTAATCACATCCTTCTTTTTGGTTAGAGCTTTAAGTGTAGGATATTCCAAAACAGATACTTTCACTGAGAATGAATTTGGACATATAGGAGTAACTAGACTAAAATAAATTGCTTAAGCTTCTGTCAAAATCAGTCACTGAAAAATCGCAAGAGTTGATATAACTTTTTTTCTTTTCTGCGCTAAGTTCTGGAAGTGTAGAGTCAAAGTACTTGCCCATTTGCAATTCTTGCAGTATTTCAAAGCTTTGGTGTTTTCAAACCAATTTCTCTCTTGCACTTGTAATACGTGTTTACCATAGATTTGTCCCTAGAAAATGGAACTGAAATACCTTATGTTAGCTTAAATACAAGGTAGACTTTGAGGTCAAAATAGGCATAGTTCTTAGAATTGAGTTTAAGAGAAATTGTGAAATCCTCTGTAATTTTTACCTTGATCAACTAATGTGTGAAGGGAACAAAATACCTTATGTTCAGCAAGAATTTAACTTTTGTTAAGATTTTTCCATCAAATCATTTTAGGTGTTATTTTAGGCTCACTAATGGCTATTGCAACTGATGCGATCCAGCTTTAATCTGGAAAATCTGAGATAAGGAATGTTGTTTAATGTTCTCTGCTAAACTTCTGCTGCCAATTATTGGTGGTAATTCTGTACATTTCAGTTAATTTGTTATTCTTTAATCTTTTGTTATTGGAAAGGATTCTTTGATACCCTTAATGTTAAGCAATTTATAATAAAAATAGCTTTTTAGAGCCAACCTTCTTCTATGAAAAGAACATGTTCTATTGAATTTATCAGCACTGGGTAGAGCATTTGAGGGAGAATATGCTTTTATAGGGTGAATGTTACATTTTGTGATACATTTTTAATAATTATTAGGCACTAACACAGCAGTTTTTAACTAATTTTAAATTGTCTTAAAGGAACCCAGCCAGAATGGACCTCTTTTTACTGAGTTAAAGTTCTACATGCGAGCTGCTAAGCCAGATGAAAGTAAGCAGTCTATTAAAATGTTTTTAATGAACTACAAGCATTTAGGAAAACAGAGCCTACAGGACTAAGGTTGGACTTTAAGAGAATCTTTTTAGGTAATTTTCAAAATTATTTTTAAATGATTGAAATCAAATTCAGACATCTAGTAAAATCAGGGTTTTTTGGTAAGATGTTCTTTATAGTTTTGTTGATGGTATTGTCTAAATTGAAACTTTAGTTGCATCTCTGTCCCTACAATGGATGCCTTGCAGTATACTTTGCATACAAGTTCCCACGAAATAAGCAGCTCACATGTATGCAGAAACTGTAAGTGATGTGAGTACTCCTTTTTTATGTGAGTCTCTACTGGTGTGAACTCATGAACTTATCTTTATTTGTATTTTCAGTTCAGAAGTGGACTAAGTCCCATAAACTGAAATATTTAGGTGTACCAAGATATTGGGGTTCTGGCTTGCATGAAAAAAATGGAAACAGGTGAATATATCTTTTGTTGGCAAATACTGGGATTTATTTCATCCGCAACCACTATCCCTTTTAACCTGATTTACTTTAAGATGTATTTTCCATGGATCTTCATGTTCTTCATTTCTACTACAAAGTTTCATGTTCGTAACAGGGTGTGTTTAAAGAATAGATGAATAGATATATTTTATCTGTAGTCTGTGTGTTACTGGTATTTGTGTCTATTACATTCTTAGTGATAGAGTTTTCATTTGCTCCAACACTGCTGTAATACAGTGATGCTATATATATGTGGTTTAGAAGCTTTTCATATTTGAACTAAAATAAAGTTGACTTCTAATGTATAAGTCCTTGAATAATATGACTACCTTTAAAATTTTTCTTCTGGTGTGGTGTGCACTTAAAGAGTATTTTCACTCACACATATAAAGGACTTAGTGTTCTCTCTAAATCTATTTTATTTTCCCTAAGGGTAGGTTTTTTTGACTTAATTTGTGAGCTAGTCTCATGTTAAATTTGTCTTAAGTCTAGGGACAGTTTTTAGTATTGTTGCATGTCATGAAAGGTTTTTTTATTTGGTCTTGAATGGTACGCCTGTTTATGTGATAGTCCTTGTTTCCTAGTAGGCTTTCTCTATACAGCTATGTTGCAAGAAGTTTTAGTGGTTCTCTGGCAGCTTATAGTAGGTCAGGCTTCTTTGTGTGGACCACCACATAGGGCAGTTGGTATTTATGCCCTAGTATGTCAGGAATATCATTGTTTCAGTAGGTCCTCAACTGTAAAACTAATCTAATGTAAAAACAACATTAATTTTGAGAGGCAAAAGAAAATAAATGTAACAAAATAAAATAAAGAAAATAAAGAAACAAATAACAAAATTATTCTTTTTTTTTCCCAAATAAACTTTTCTTTGCGTTCAGTGTTTAATGCATGAGATTCTTTAGTATAGCTACTGTGACCTCTTACAGTAATAGAACCAGTTTGGCTGTAGCAACGAATATCAAAACACCTTTGGCAAGTGAGAGATTTCTGTTTTTAATAGGAGGTTAAAAAAAAGCTTGTAATAGATTTCAAGAAACTAACTTTTTTAAGTAACCATGTTAAGTCTCTTAGTCATATATAAAGTAAAAAATGTATTTCTGCAAGTAATTGATGCTTCGTTTTACCGATAATTTCCTCTCTGGGTACTTGTTATTGTATTGCATAACTAGCCAGGAATAAAGAACAGTTCTTTTGATGGGCAAACTTTGAGTAGCTGATGTAAAAAAAGTTAAGAATTGATGTACAACATTAAAATAAAGTCAAGTGTTTCCCATATATTTGTTTTCTGTATACCTGCAGTTTATCTTTTGAGAGAGATGTTTTTAATCAGTAACTTGTACAATTAACACATAGATAAAATACTTTGCTAAGTACAATTCAGTAACTTCGCTGTTGGTTTTTTTCCTTGAATTTAGTTATCGATTTATGATAATGGACCGATTTGGCAGAGATCTTCAGAAGATGTATGAAGAGAATGCAAAGCAATTTTCCCATAAAACTGTACTACAATTAGGCCTGAGAATAGTAAGTTTAAAAAAAATATTTTTACAATCTGGCTTCCCTATGTAAGTCTTTCAGTTAAATCACACTTTTGTACTGAATACAGGTCCTCTGCTGGGTGGAGCTGGGTACTGCATTTATATGACTGTATTTTGTTTTGTTAGCTTGATATTCTGGAATACGTCCATGAGCATGAATATGTGCATGGAGACATCAAGGCTTCAAACCTTCTTGTGAGTTACAAGAACCCTAATCAGGTATTTCTGATGCATTTTATTCCTCATGTTTTAAACCTTCTATTTGACAACACATGGAAGTGCTTTGAACCTGTGAAATCTAGCAAAAGCTCATTTTTAAGAATGTGTATGGTAACGTTATTTCTGCTTGAAATTTATATCTAGTTAATATTCTACGAATTTTTTTTATGCATTTTGCTGGACAGTTATCAAATTGAGTCTTTGCCCTAAATAATATTCTAGAGAAATTCTCAAGATTAAAAAAAAATTTACTCACAAATAGGTATTTGCAGGTGGAAGCTTAAAATTATATAGCACACTAGTAAATTATGTTTGCCTGTCTGCGTTGTTAACCTCATTCCTTTGTTCAAGAAATCCATCAGGTAAGTGTGCTGTTACTTGGAAAAATTTGTCTTTAAAGTGTTGATTGTTCCACTTGATTTACGGAAGTCTTTCATTTTTCTGCATTTTTTAACTCTACTACTCAAACAATGCATATTAGAGTTTCAGAATTATGTCTTCTTGCCCAAATGTTTTAGCTCACGAAATAAGTAAAATAATCTCAGTTCTCTTAAAGTAACTGTGGTGGTAGTGAGAAGTAATAGGTAGTAGTAGTGTTCAAATGAGGCAGCTGACTTTAAAAAAGGGTAGGACAGTAAGTGTATTTATAACTCTATGAACATTATGACTTTTTTTTTTCTTACTGGTAATAATAGACTATTTTACTGTACTTGTCCTCTGTATCA